TTCCCTTTGTATTCGCCCGAAATTTTGGGGAAAATTTTTGTGTTTTCCCCCCCCCCTTCTTTTCGGGTATTTTTTTTCTGTTCCCCCCCGGGGGTTTTCCCCTTTTTTTTTCGGGGTTTCCTCCGCACATTGTTTTTCGGGGTAACTTTTCGGGTGTTCCCCCCCAAATTTTTTTGGGCGGACCCGTTTCCCGCCAATAACCGGGGTGGGAGGGGGGTTCCGGAAGAAGAAGCCCAGGGCCCGTTTGTTCTTGCCGGCCGTCAGGCCCCCCTGCATTTTTTTCACTTTCTGGTCCAAGGGCGGGTTTTTTTGGCCCCCCTCGGGGGGGTAACCCCCGACGTTGGTTTTGTTTTTTTTCCCGGGGGGGGGGGGGGGGGGGGTCATGGTCTCTCTCTCGATGCTGCGTTTTCTTGGCTGCGAAAGCTCGCTAATAGTGACGGGAGCAGTGCGGGCGGTTTGTGTACCGAGCAGCTTCGGGATGGTTGGTTCTGTTGCAGGATTGAGTCGAGGGGGGGGGGGGTGCGGAGGGGTTCAGTCAGGTGTGGCTTTATGGCATTCCCCGGGCCAGTTTTTTTTCTGCGAGTTCCGCTGTGTTGTGGAGACAAAACGTTCGTCGTCGGGAGGGCGTGATCGACGTATGCCCAACTTTGCTGTGTCAAGAGTCTATTTTTCTAGACGTCGACCGCTTTTCGCGCTCCGGCTTCGACGCCCGCATAGCGTGTGAGAGTCTAGTAGACGCTCATCGGTTTTCCGCGCGCCGGTTTCGATACACTCACGCACTCCTTGGGTGCCCGTGCAGTTGTCGTTTGGTCGTAGTGCCCGCCAGATATTGGTCCAATTTAAGTGAGCAGCTTGGAAGGGCGTGTCTTTCCTTGCAATGGAGTCGTGAGCTCGGTCCTCTCCGCTTTGTACAGGTACAGTAGTGTTGCTGTTGTGTGAGTGTAGTTCTGTACAGGGAGAATGTTTGCGGCCTGCTTACCCAAGGTGTAGTTCCAGGCGACGGCGCCAAAGGTAGTACTAAATATGTGATTATTTTGATATTGCGGCCGCGATCCATACACGAAACGAAGGTGTTTCACCGACCTTTAGTGGGTGCTCGTGGAGCACTCTCCCGCCCTTGTAAAGGTTCACGGCGACCTGTTTTTCCTGTCGAAACAGCATCCAAATCGACGTTGCTGTTGTTGTTGTTGTCTGCTGTCAAAGTGGTGTCCTGGGCCTTGCCTCTCACCAGACAAGTCGGTGACTGCCTACCACGCTCCCCTCAAACCAGCAGAGTGGGGACGCGGAGCATCCGTGAAGGCTTGTTTGTCTCTGTTTCCGTGCACCTGTTGCTGATGACCCTGGTTTTGGGCTAGGTGGCGTGTTGTCTGCGGGGCGTACGCTCTGCGAGCACATACATGTGTTACTTCGCACGTGTCGTGCGTTTTTTTCGGGGGCGCGATTGTTTTTTTTTTCCGCATAGATGCCCTGTACGTATGTCGCCAGTGTGTCTTTTGGTTGCGCATCATTCGTGATAAGTCAGATGACACCACCTTTTTTTTGAGAAACTGGTTCTGCTTCCCTCCTCTGGCTTTTTTTAGCTTCACAGGGTGAAACAACACGCGTGCCCGGTTTGTTTTGGGCGTTTTTGCTCAATTGCGTGGTACCGCCTATTTCTTCAGAGTAGTGATGGTGATACCCGAATCATACGCGTTTCTTTTTTCGGCAAGCCTCAGGCGGTCGGGTGCTGCTGTTGTGAGGCGCTGTCCGGTGGCGCCTGCTTATTTCTCCCCTGCTGGTTTGTCGTCAAACACAGCCCGCGCGGTATTTTCAGGCCGTATCGCTCACCGGCTACGGTTTGTCCGATGGGGGTGCATGTAGTCCCTCTGTGGTGTTGTGTTGAACGAGGATATTCGGTGGTGTTTAGTTTGTGGACGAGACACCACCTAATGGTTTTTAGTCAACAATCTCTACGTCGTATGCATACCGTCGTACCATTCATTTCGTTTGCAAGATTCTCTCTACCCGTTTCCCGCGGTTAACGTTACACCGCATTACAGCAGTACTCGTTTCTCAACGTTTTCAACGTTCGTTGTGTGTGCTTGTTAATCATCTCATCATGTGTTATCTAAACGTCGTTGTCTGAGAGGTTGGTCTAAAACTAGCAGCGAGTGACTGGTCTAAGGCTTTGACACATAAGTGTTCAAATTTATCGAAACATGCCGACTTGAATCCGAACCCTACTACACTGTAAATACAATAGGTTGTGTAGCTGTTCACAACCCATTGTACACAGAGGAAACAAGAACTTCACGGTTGTTGCGCTAGGTAGGAGGTTGAGCATGTGTTCTGTTTCGAAAGTACGTGCGTTGTCCTCAGTTTTTAGAAAATACGTTCATACTTACACAGCAGAAAGATTACCCGTTCCAGATGTGCTCCTGACAAGGTGGTGACGAGAGCGAAGGCCACACAGTCCGCAGTCTAGTCAAAGAAGAGTACCTAGATGTCTAAAGAATAAGTATATGCCGTGTGTGCGTGTGTGCCTGCATGACGCTCCTTCGATCGGACCATCCATCCATGTGACATGTGACCCTCATGTCAAAAGTAATTTAGCAGGTCAGGGCCTGAAGTTGATGCGACCGTGTCATGTTCTATTTGGGGCAGTGCTTCTTCGACACGCATTAACTAAAACTGCTGCTATGCTCACCACCTCTAGCAGTGAGCTCTCGCGAAAGCCCCAGAAATAACCAGAGTTCTGACATGGGCGGAGCGGCGGAGCCTGTATTCCGAACCGGCACATATGGTTCAGACGTTGTTGATTGGCCAACATCTTCGGACAGCTCGGAGAGGCTTCCCGACAAGCCAGCCTTTCGAAGAGGGTCATCATCAGAGATAGCAGAGAGAAGAGAGAAGAGAACGGAAAACCCATCATCATCACTCGGAAAACAGCAGTGGTAAATAGGACAGTCTCGACAGCCTCGTTGTTGGCGTCGCCTCTCCTCCGAGCGAAAAACCTTTTGGCTAACTAAACCTTCGGACTGCTGTGACGGTCACACACACCAGACCGGCAGCCGCAGCGCCAACATCGTACCACGAGAGTTATATACTTTCGTCTTCAGGACCAACTCTTTCTCCTCCTGCTGCACACACAACAAGGAGGAGTTCGGGTGCACGACATGTCTGGAAGGGCGGCCTCTTCCGCACGAGGGCCGCGGGGCGGGCGAGGACGTGGCCGCGGTAGGTGGATGGCAGCACATCGGCACGCATCGTTTTATTTGCCTTTTTCATATGAGCGATATTTTGTACCGCGTGGTGTGTGCCGGGCGTGCGGTGGTGCTTTGGCCGCCCGAGGGATGGGCATTTTACATGATTTTTTCGAGCGTTCGCGGCTGTAGCAGTGTTTGTCCTCAGGTGTGTAGCTGCTGTTGTGTCTATGCTTCACCCCCGTGCTGCTATTGTCTCGTTTTTTACGTGTACACAGCAGCCTCTACTTTGACGCCGAAAAGCGCATGCGGCGTGATCGATGTTTTCGCGGCAGACGACTACGGTTTGCGGGGAAAGAAGCACGACGCACTTCTTGTCCGCAGCAGCGTGTGTCGTGTCTTGTATCCCCTCGGTGAAGTACTGTGTGTTTTACTTGGTGCTGCGGTACAGCATTAGTACTGTAGTCGCGCTGGTGCCTCTTTGGCGAGGAAACTACACTATACGTAACATTTTCACGCGACGTCGTGTGTTGATTGTGGCGCAGGTCTTTACGTGTTGTGTTGACCCTACAACCGCCTCACGTACACATTGTACAAAAGGAGAGGACCTGTTTCTGCTGCTGTTGACTGCTGTATGCACGTTGTCGCCGTGGTGGAAACACCCACAGCCCGCATGCCTTCGATAGAGGCCACCACCAGTATTATTGTCCTGGTGGGGTTGTGACCTACTATCCAGTTACAAAGACTAGGGAAGTAGCCTCACTTTGGCTGCGGACTGCGCGATAATGTGTAGGGCTGTGTTTATGTAGACAGGAGAGACATGGGAGGCAGGTACGGCACGTGAGAGTAGTTATTCAACAAAACGGAGTACCGAAAGTCGATGAAGCGACTCCTTACGGGGGGTGCGATGTAGGAGTCCTCACACTGACGGCTAGGTGAACGCAGCGGGAGAGTCGCTCTACTGACAGTTTTTTCTGGTTCAAAGACAGCCGACAGCCGGGCTGCAGCACGTGGATTTGTACACTGACACGGTGCACAGACAGATAGCGCCGCACTAGACTTCTCAACATTGGAACTTGAGCACCTTGCGAGCCCGCATAGGATCCTCAATATAACACCCAGTAGCCCACGATAGGAACTAAGAGCAAAGAACCGCAGCCTCGGCCAAACCTAGAGGTTCTTAAGAACGGGCGCTATCTGTACCTTCACAACAGTTACGGCACCTACATGAGTTGTGTATAGTTCGGCTTGTGTGCTGCGAAGGCTTGGTGAGACTGCTGTACTGCTGCATAACGCCCACTCACAAGGGGCAGCTATATTACGGTAGCTCTGCCCCTCTGCTGTATGGCCACGGTGGAAACCTCGCCGACACGTGTTGCTGTTGCTGGTAGGCCCATCGAGGCCTGCACTCACCTATGATACGTGACGTGTTGCAGCATCCCTAGGCCTAGACACGAAATACGAGAGGAATACACAGGGCGCGTGAAGTTAGATTTAGGAATGTTCCGTTACCTATGCTATGGTATGGGTTCACGGTTGTGCTTTGGGGTGGGTCCTATGCGGTACCGCCGCAGCATAGCAATAAGTAGCAAGCCAAGGACGCAGCCATTTTTTGAAGCGCATTTAGCATGACAAACAAAACCGCTGTTCTTTCGAGATAGTATCCGTTTGATTGAATGTCTTTTCCGTGAGAGTCTTCTCACAAGTATGCATCTACCTTGTACTCTTTTCAAAGGATCGATTTGGAGAACCTGTTCTAGGGCCTTGCGACTACACACAGATGAAATCGTAGGCCGTTCGTTTTACCCCGCCCGTCGGCCCCCTTCCCATCCACTACCTTTCTCCTCCCCCCCCCCCCCCCCCTTCGAGTAGGCGATCTGGACTTGCCAGAACGGAGGAAGAGGTATACCAGCCGTAGGAGAGAGGAAGAGGAGGATAGACACACATGCCCATGTGGCAAATCGGAGGAGAGTAGACCCCACATAGTTGGGGAGTGTGAGTTGTACAGGAAGGAAAGAGAGGATCTCGAGGAGGAAATGAGACAGAGAGGGTGTGACATGGACAAGTTTGGTAAATTAGACAACAGCGAAAAAACGATCGCGATAATTGGGGATAGATGGTGGGCACAAGAGGCCCTAGAGGACGGAGATAACATGTGCAAGAAATTTTTATGGAGTTCGTGGCAGAAACGTAAAGAGCTCCCAAATGTTGGTGGTGTCTCTAGTAGGGGTAGGAACGGTGCTCCGTCTCGAAAGGGACGCGTGGTCAATGGTCAAATGACTATACGGCAAGCAACAAATGAGTACGCCCCCCCCCCCCCCCTCCCAGCACCGTCCTCTCGTTTCCCTTCTGTGCATACCAGCAGTAACACGCCCTCGCCACCTCTACAACTGCGCACAAAATAGCAGCCAACTGTCGTTGTGGGAAAATGTCTATGCACCTCCTCCGTGAATGTTCAGACCTCATTGCTGTTGACACCTGCAAGGTAGGTCACCGCACACCACCAACACCAACAATCCCAACTTGAAAAAAACGAACAAACACGAAAAACAGAAGCACGGGCGCTCCAAGGCTGGTTGATGGAGCCCCTGGCACGACGGCGGTCGCTAGCGTCATCCTCGGGTTCAGGGGGGGAGGATGCCGCGCCCCCCCCGCCCGCCGTCAGGGGCGGAAGGGGCAGGGGGAGAGGTCGCGGGAGAGGGAGAGGGAGAGGGAGAGGGAGGGGGAGGGGGAGGGGGAGAGGCCGGGGGGGCAGAGGCGCGGGACGAGGCAGTCGGTGAGTGGTAGTTTCTGTTCCGAAATGCGGTGCTGGTCGTCGTGGGCTCCTGTGCGCAACCGTAAAGGAAAATGGTAGCCACTGTTCCGAAATGCGTGTGTTCCCACCGTTGGGAGATGCTATTTGTTTGTTTTTACCGTCTCGTGCTTTTTTTACCGGGAGCTGTCGGTGGGGTTTCGACATGTTTGGGGTATCGTATTTTGGTATACATCCCATTACCCATCCCGTTACCCCGAGATTGAACGAGATCTTCGTCTCCCGTCAGGCGGCTTTTTGCCCGTAGAGCCGGCTAGCGTCGGCAGCAAGTAGTCGTGTGAAGGTAGAGCGGGGCAATCCTTCAGTGTTTTTTGCTTTGCGGAAAATCCACTTTTCTTCGTTATCTGTCGAAAGCTAAAGCAGAGGATGACGCTCTGCTAAGTAGCGTATTCACGTCCCCCCCCCACCCGGACCTATTTTTTGTGTATTGTCTTTACAGGTACAGGGGCTCCTCCGAAGACTCTGACAGCAGCAGCAGCAGCGGAGATCTAGAACCACAAAGAGAAGAAGGAGAGAAAGAGGAAAGCGACGGCAGCGACGAAGGCGAAGGCGGCGAGGACAGGAGTAGGAGCAGCAGCAGCCTGGGCAGCAGCGGCAATAGCGACGAACGCGTTGACGACGTCGACGACGTCGAGAGCGGTAGCGGTAGCGGTAGCGGCAGCGGCGAGGGAGCTGGATTTGTCGCTGGCCAACAACCTGCCGAAGAGGGAGGAGAGGAAGACGGCTTTTCTCAGGAGGCGGCAGGGGATGATGGCGAAGCGTCCCCGGGGGATGATGGCGAAGCGTCCCCGGGGGATGATGGCGAAGCGTCCCCGGGGGATGATGGCGAAGCGTCCCCAGGGGATGATGGCGAAGCATCCCCGGGGGAAGAACGCGGGTCGTCGTCCGCGGACGGAATGGACCTCGAGGAGGAGGGGGAGGAGGAGGAGGATAGCGATGGGGGGGCCGTGGAGGGAGAGGGCGAGGACGAGGGTATGGACGTCGACGAAGAGGAAGGGGGAAAGGGTGACGATGTAGAGTCGGAGGAGACCGGAGCGCAGGGGGGGGGCGCAGGGGGGGGGCTTGATCAAGAGGTGCTCGAGGAGATTATCCAGAAGATGAAGGCTGGCCACAAGGGGCAGAACCTTTACAAGGGACTTGGACACGTGAGGTTTTGGAGTAATACTTTTTGTGTTTACTTGTTTTTGTTTGCTTTCAATGACACAAACGAATTCACCTCTTCTACAGATCGTAAGAGTCCGGGGTAAGTTTACAACGAATATATTTAGCGGATGTTTTCTGCTCAACGGCCCGGGACTCGCAGGAGGTCTGTTGCCTCAGTCTCAGGAAGGATTTGATTGCTACCAATGCTTTGGCTGTTGCCAAAGCGGGGTTTGTTCTCGCGGTTTAGACTAGCAAGGACGGTAGTTGCGCGCAGCATGCGTGCGGCCCCGAGAGCGGGCTTGGGATCATTCGACGATGCTTCAGAAACACAATACTTTCACCTGTTGATGTATTTTTTTGGAGGTCGTTTCTTGTGTCATCGCTTGTTCTCCTGGGGATCATTCCACGATGCTTCCACGCTTCTTGAGCCATCGAGCGTTTTGTTGTGAGTGCTACGGGCCATCGATGGTTAGCTTCCGTCGGGCCATTGCCTGAGTTGCAGTTCCCAATAAGATACTCTGCACTCTGTGCGAACGCTAAGCTTTGACGCCCGTCAAGAGGCAGCCCCGCCACCTGTTTCCTCGGCCCACCAGCTAGTAGCTCCCCAGCTAGCTACCACCCAACCTTGGGACCGCCCAGCTAGCCGCCCACAGCATCCTTTGAGAACGCCGCCCCGCCTGCTCACCAAATAATCAACGACATTGTAATTTGATGCTACCTGCTAAACCAAACAACATCAGGGGTGGCGCAGGTACTGCACCGCCGCCAAGCTGGCCGTCCGTCGTGATGCGCTCTCCCGCGCCCCCGCCGCCGCCAGCTGCGGCACTTGGCGAGACCTAACCGACGCGGCGATGGCCCCGCTACCTCG